AGCAAGGTATTGAAATAATGTGGATTAGAACTAAAAGACTCAAAGTTATAGTTTCAGGCACAAATTGTCTTTAACTATAAAATAATACTTTGTATTGGAGGGAAACCTGAACAAAAATTCTCTGAGAGGCTAACATTAGTTGCATGTTCTGAGCCAAGTTACTAAGCAAACAGTAGAGGAACAAAAACCCTTTGGAGAAATCTGGCTGAGTTCTCATGGGGTAATGTGAGCTGGTTTACATTCCACTTGTAGCACAGATATAACTGAGCCCCATCCAGAAACACTGAAATGTGCACAAGAAATCTGTGACACAAGAAAATCAGCTTGTCTCCACAGAAGCACTTAAAGCCCTCAAAATTGCATCTGTATCTGACAAGGTGAAGAATATGCCAGTGGTTTAAAACAAAGACTTTTGAAATGAACATGTTTAACGAAACTCATTTTTAGAATATTAAACTCATGAAATAATTCCCAAGGATTTGGCACCAGAAACAAGGAGTCCAGACTCGTCTTCTCAACCATCTACTCTCCTTTTCCTGTTACATGTCACAAACACATCCAAGGCTGGACCATGCTTTCCCCTCAGCCCTGGTTCTCCATCAGTGTTTCCTAGGTGTTGTAGGAAATGGCTAATTTCCAAACTATGATGAAAAGAACGAGGGCCTCGGTGGAAACTGGAGGGGCAGGTGAGATAAACAGGGGTATGTGTGGGAAATGTGCGTTTATTTTAGCTGTGGTATTTGGTGTTGGTATACACACGTAAAATACGCTGTGGCTACTAGGACTTAGGGATCTGGGGAGATGGATGTGGGCTAAGGGTGTGGATTTGGGAGGCATCGACATAGCAAGGATGAGGTTAGGGGAGCGAACATTTGAGACAGAAACATAGAAGGTAGAAGGGAAAGGGTCCAGAAAAGTGTATTGTCCACCACAAGATCAAAGAGAGCTTAGTAAGGAAAGGATGGTGTTAAAATTTCAGTGGATGAGGAATGAAATGAAGCCTCTGGATTTTATGACCTTTGGAACTTTCACAAATATGAAATTAGAAGTCAAATTACAGTAGTTATAAAAAGGCGTGTTTCAGTCCTCACTTTAACCTATTGCTTCACCTTGTGGAAGTTCTGAATGCCTCTGGATGTCAGCTTTTTCATCTTTTTTTTTTGTTTGTCTGTTTGTTTTTAAAGTAAGGTCACTGGCCTTGAACTCACATGTAGCCCAGGCTGGTCTGAATGTGCCAGGGATCTTCTTGTCTCAGCCCCATGAGTGCTGGGAATATAGGTGGGCACCACAGTTTTCTCATCTTTAAAATGAAGATTTCTGCAAGTGCACACATCTGGACAATCTCAGTCCTCACACCTGCTACACAAGTGCTTTGCTTTCTCAGCCCTCTCAATGAATAAAAGAAATGAGTAAGACTCTGCCATTTCTTGTCAGTTCCATAGATAAGTAAACACCATTAGAATTGACTGCTGTCTTCAAGATGTCTTGCAGTGAAAGACATCAAGAATAGCTTGTCTAAGGGAGCAGGACTATCAAGGAGAGGATTTTCTTTTTTTTTTCTTTTTATTGAGTTTATTGGTACCATCTAGATATACAATACAGTTCCATTCATTATTGGGATCCCATACCTTTACATGACAGGTCTCAATTTTCATTTTTACCCCTTGTCCCTGCCCTCCCTTCACCCACTCCTCCCCTCCCCATTTACAAATACTTTATTACCATTTTTTCATTTTCTCATATTTTTTCTTTTCCCTTATTACCTTTCCCCTACCCTTCCCACTTTCCCTATACCTTTAGCTCTTTTCTTCCTATTTCACATTATTAATTATCTCATTAGGATCTTGTTTACTATTATAGTTTTTCACACCAGAGAAACTATTCAGTATTTACACATATGTGGCTTATGTATTTCACTTAGTATATCCTCAATATGTATCCATCTTCCTATGAATGACTCTAATTTCTCATTCTTTATGGCTGAGTAATATTCCATTTTATAGAAAAACCACATCCTCTTTATCCAGTTTCCAACCGATGGGCACATGGGCTGTTTCCAAGTTTTAGCTATTACAAACTGTGCCGCTATAAACATGGGTGAGCATATATCTCTGTGATATGATTCTTTTAATTCTTTTGGAAAGATACCCAGCAGAGGGATGGCTGGGTCAAATGGAACCTCTAGTCCCAGCTCTTTGAGGTATCTCCACATGTCCTTTCTTTTCTAACTCTGCCTTATTTGTATAAAATAAAAAACAACAACAATAAACTGGAAATTTTCAGATAAACTAATCTAAAAACAGTAAGTAGAATGAATAATTTAGAACTCTAGGATTCAGCAAAATATGACTTTGTAATTTGTGACTTTATGCTTAATTATAATGATCAGTTAAAGAAATCTCTGTATGAAAATTAAAAATAGGGAATCCTAAAATGATAAAACTAAAAAGGAAAGTAAAAGAGGAAATTTACTTTGTCGGCAGATAAGATTGCTACCCCTGCTTTTTTCTGGGCTCCTGTCACATGGAGAATTGTTTTCCATCCTTTCGCTTTCAGTCTATGGACTTCTTTTTGCACTAGGTGTGTTTCTTGTATACAACATATTGGATTTTTCTTCTTAATCCATTTTGCCAGTCTATTTCTCTTGATTGGTGAGTTGAGGCCATTGACATTGATGGTTATAACTATATGTACTGACTTATTATTGTCATGTTATTGGCCTTTTGTTGACTTTTTACTTTTTCGCCTTCGCCTTTTAGTTTCTTGCCTGGCTTATTTGATTTGCTCTGTTGGGCCTCATGGTGTTGCTGCCTTCATTGTCTTTTTCTAGAATATTGTTTAGAATTGCTTGTAGTGCTGGTTTGGTATTCGTGTAGTTTCTCAGGTGTTCTTTGTCATGGAAGTATCTTATTTCCTCATCCATTTTGAAAGAGAGTTTTGCAGGATACATCAGTTTAGGTTGGAGGTTATTCTCTTTTAGTACTTGAAATATCTCACTCCAGGCTCAATGAGAGGATTTTCAAGGCAACAGAGACATCTCTTTTTGGGTTTTAATTTTCATCCTGTAACCCTAAAGCATATAGGAGATCCTTGGCCCTTGATTTGCTGACACTGATTTTCATTCACTTTTTGTGAATGTACGTGACAAGCAATTCTGCTAAGTATGAATTTTTTTCAGCCCCTGACAAAATTTATTAGGTCATAGCACTGGTGATATTAGAATTTAAGAAGGTACAAGGAACAAAGCACATTGGAAATTTAGCATTGTCTTTGGTAGTTGTAGATATATTGGCAAAGTTTCCCACCCCCAAACAAATTTAACCTAGGGAGGTGGCTCAGTTTTGAGACTGGTTAGCAAGTTTGACAAAAGGAAGCTAACTTGAGGTATACAGGGCTGGTCAGTAATTGAATTTAAGTCTAGATTTTTTTTTTTTTTTTTTTTTTTTTGTGGTACCAGGGATCAAACTCAGGACCTTGCGCCTCGCGAGGCAGGAGCAGTGCCCCTGATCTAAATCCCTGGCCTAAGCCTAGAATTTCAATATCTATGGTGAAAGAAATTGGAAAGGTTAAAGTCAAGTCCCACGCCAGTCGACAGATGCCAAGAATTTTGAGTGGGCTTATTTCTCAATATAAATGTGAGAGGCCAGGGATTATCTCAATGGTTCCACACCTGCCTCAAAATAAACTTGAGTGTTATACAATGGGTATGGGAAATATCCTTTGAGTCATATCTCATTTAATTTTTCCTCTAGAGGTTTATTTATTTATTTATTTTTTGGTACCAGGTATTGAACTCAGGTCCTTGCACTTGCAAAGCAGGCGCCGGAACCACTGAGCTAAATCCCCGGGCCTTAGAGGTTCTTTATGCATGTAAGTTATTTATAACATGCAGCACATAGTCTTATATTTACAAAATCACTTGTTTTCTGGAGTCTGTACATTAACAAAGAGCTGAGGGGGTTTCTCAGTGGCTTTGGAACTTTCTGGTAGTTGCTCCACTTCCTTTTCTGATACCTGCCTAGAAGAAGCCGTTCTTTGGGTAAGCTGATGGTACAGGGTAAAAATTCTCCAATTTAAACCAAAAGGATTCAGTTACCTTTTCCAAATATGCTATATGAGCAAGGGGCAAATGAAATCACAAAAAAGAAACAATTTTAACAGCCAGCATTCATCACAGTATTTAAATCAGAATTTTATTTTATTTCAGAATAAGTTTACAGTTCAAAAAAGATTATTTCCTAAAGCCATGTTATTCATACAGACAGAACTTTTATAGCAAAACCTTGCTATGTGAGCATTACTAATTTGAGTACTGTATAGATAGAGAAGATATTTCAAAATGGAAATTATTCCAGATGCTGCTGTAGGCACAATAATATCGGTTCTGCAAGCATTCTACTACGCTTCACGACGTGTGACCCAAGAAGTTGCAGATTTGTCAGCATTATGTACTGAAAAGTCACAAAGGAATATCACAGTTACTCATACTGAAAAAGCATGTACTGTCAAGACTATAAAATAGGAGCAGCAAGCCAAACCAACAAACATTTCTTTAAGATTAGTAAGAATCTGTGGCTTTCTCATGTCCATTTTTAGCAAATCTGAAAAGTTGAAAAGAAGAAATTATTCTATAATAAAACATTAAAGATCATATACAAGACATCTCCTATTTAACAAGTTTAAAACTAGAAAACAAAAATCAAGTTGTTCTTAGAGTAAATTTTTTTTTTTGTACTGGTTTCCGCTGCGGAGCTAAATCCCCAGCCCTTTAGAGTAAAATTTTGAGGTATAATATGGCAAAAAAAAAAAATTGCTTCCTCCCATCTAACTTTTGGCATAAAAATATGCAAAAAACTAAGAGGTTTTAGGTGAAATAGTGAAAAAATATTTAAGATGAACAATTAGAATGCATTTTTGTTTGTTTGTTTTATTTTTTTGAGACAAGGTCTCACTTTGTAGTTCATCCTGGCCTTGAACTCACTAGCCCAGACTGGCCTCAAACGGCGATCCTCATGCCTCAGCCTCCCGAGTTCTGGGATTACAGGTATGTCACCATGCCTGGCTTAGAATGTACTTTTGTTCTTTAGTTAGCATAAAGGATATACATCTTCCAAGGACCAAGAAATTGAATTTGGTCCTTATATGGAATTGTTTTTATATTTCTTAAAAGTGTGACTAAAATATGTATTCACAGTGACAGTGTATCCTGACTGATAAACGTGAACATGTAGAAAAAAAATCATACAATTTTCAGGGCACACTGCTACTACATCATATTGTAATTGTCTGAAGGTAAAATGTACATAGATTCTCAAAGGTTTTGTTTTTTAACGAGCCATTAAACGTAAGTGTAAAAGCAAATCATGCAGTGTTTTTACCTACATGTTACTGTGTCAGTGACATGAGGGGAACAGAAGTTTTTTTCTTTTTCCTTGAAATCTGTAGTGCTTACAAATTATCATGTAGAATTAAAATCACACACAAAGGCAGATCATGAAGAAGTGTTAAATATTTCAAAATGCCCACGGAGGCGTGCCAGAAAAGGTGCTGTTTCCACAGCACGGAACTGTCAGAGGCTTAAACTAAAGCAGTCAGTGCTACCAGACCCTGTGGTGTAGCTCTTTAATGCTGTTTGTTTTTGCTTGTTTGACTGCAGACACTTGGGGGAGGGTCTTCGGTCTGTGGAGCTTAGGCCATGATTTCTGCAGGCTCAGTGATCAACTTGGATCCATCCCAGGTTGTCTTGAACTGCTCAGGGATGGGAAACTCTCTCTGGAAAAAGGCAAGAAGGACAGGGCTCTTTAGACAAGGGTTTTGCCAAGATGGCAGTGCCACATGGTGGCCACGGTGATTTGATGGAGCCTGAGTCGGCCCCATGGAGAAGTAAGTCTCTGTCACCTGGGATTTGCATCTGTCGCATGTCTGTTGGGTGAGCACACACCAGGATCATCATTAACACTAGCATTTCCGAGAACAGGCAATCTGTGGAGCCCTGGACATCTGCACCCTCAGCTGATCTCCAGCAAGCCAGGGAGCCTGGAGTTACTGAGATACCGCCTACAGTAAGCAGACCTCTGCAGGTCCGGCCACTGGCCCAAGACGGTGCTGCCAGTAAGCGGAGCAGCCCGAAGCCAAAGCCAAGCAGTCTTTCTTAGCCACGACTTTCACCACGCTTAATTAACTGTGGGGTCTTATTATCACATGCAGATTCTGACCCAGTAGATATGGGGAAAGGGGTGGGAGTCTGCATTCCCAACACGGAGTCATGATGTTGAGGCAGCTGGTCCACAGTCACTAGGGGTACAAACACTTGATCCCAGAGTTATCTCTGTGCTCCTTAGGAACTGCAAACAATGTGCTCAGGGTAGTAAATGCGTTTGTTTCCTTTTACTCTGCCACTGCCAGCAGAAAAAATACATGGGCTCCCTGACCTCTATCCCTCCCACACATGCAAACACACAAAGGAAAATGGAGCAGCCAGAACTGCTCTCCTTTCCCTGGAGAGAGTCTCACTCTCCAGACATTTACAAAGAGGAGGGAAGGGGAGGCTGAGGCACAGTGCTTCCCACCCCTGCCGTGTTCACTGAGGCCCCACGCGTGCTAAGTGATGCCTTTGCTCACGAGAGGCAATGTTTCCCTGGAACGCACACAGGAGTACCTATCTTCCTAGACGCAGGATCCAGTGGTTTCTTTGGGAAGAAGTGATTGATTTATTTTGCTGTAATGAGTAATGAATTCTCCTTGAGTAAATCTGCAATGGAAAAATCTTAAAGAAGCTACTGTATTAATAACCTAAGGTGCACGTATGTGTGTGTACTTGTGTGTATTTACCTAATATCACTTCTGGGCTCTCCTTGGTGAGAAAACCAAGCTTTCTGTTTATTCTCAAGCACTGGCCGGGGGAGAGAATGCTGCAGAGAGAGGGCTGTCTTGGACTGGAATGTGCGGCAGCTGTTCCACACTCTTGGGCAGTGAGGAGGCAGTAATCTGATGATGGATCTTCTCTGGGAGACTGATTTGGTTCAGGAAGAACTATGCGTCCCATCCATCCCCACATTACAATGCCCTGGGCAGGGCCTCTGTATTACATCCACTTGCACCGGGAAAATGCTAGAAGAGGGCCAGGGACTGAGATTACCTATCATTTACCTATCAACGCAAGACTACCTTTTCAGAAAAAGCTCAGGCTTTGCTTATACACATCTGCTATCTTGACTTCACACTGGGCTCACCCTGAAAGCCTTGAAAACTACGGATGCCTGGGTTGCTGAGCTGAATCGTCTTGGAGTACTCATACGAGCCCCACCTCTGTCCTTTAGCAGATCCAGTTCCCCGGAAGCCACGCCTTCTGCTTAAACAGCTGCGGAGGCGAGGCGAGGGACCCCCTGGGCTTTGGATCGCCTATTCTAAGCTCTGTTCTATTAGCTGCAGCTCTTCCATAGAATTTTTAAGGCTGAGAACTCAAGACGGGCCTTTTCTCTAGCTCAGAATTAGGCTGTCCATGTACGAAAGGGTGACCCATGACCCGATGCTTGCAGAATTTTGTGTTACAAGCTAAAGTGATGAATTCCAGGCTGCAATGTGTGGGACATGGCTGGGGAGAACTGAAGGACTTCCTGACGAGTGGGGAAAGGCACACACACAGGCAGCAGTCATGTTGTCTGCCAAGGAGATAACCAGCCCGTTACAGTTCGCTGTGTAGACCTCTGATGACAGCCCGCCCCCCCCAGGCTGATATGATCTTTCTTCCAAAAGTCTGTCTGCTGAGTTACATTTTCTTTCATCCTTTCCTGGTTTACAACAGTCAGAGAGAATTATCTCTGCATTTATTCCCTGCTTCCAAGTAACAACAATAAGTCAGTCCACCGTACTTGCCAATCCAGAAAAAGGTTAACTGATTTAATTGTACTCTCTTTCTAATGTGTGAGAATATTTGCATGACTTTTGTTTTGTTTTTGGTACCTGGGATCAAACTGTACCTGGGATCAAACTCTGGACCTTGCACTTGCAAGGCAGGTGGCGGCACCACTGAGCTAAACCCCTGGTCCTATTTGCATGATTTTTATCTAAGATACTTTGATGGTGAGAAATGCTGGCGAAATCCCTTAGGCTAATATTTCTCGGAAGGGCCACTGGATGGACTGACTGATGGGATTAGAATCATGGGAGATGCCTATGAAGAATCCAGCTTCTCAGGCCCCACAGCAGCCCTCTGGAATCCAACCTCTAGGTGCTTCTTTTGCAGCTGGCCTGTTCATCAGCCTTCCCAGCTGCTTCTGAAGTTCAGAGGGCAATCTGTGACCCCAGCACACCAGTGCAAAGAGTCAGTCTACTTACACTTCCCTCTCCTCCTTCTGTTTTTCCCTCAAAGCATTTCTCCTTCTTTCTTTCTTATTTCCATTACATCAAAGGGAACTATTTAGTCCTACATCATATGAACTCGGTGCACACTGTGCTATTTGATAACAGGTAGCCCATTAAGTGGTTATTAGTACACTGCCCTGAGAATCGCAAATTCAGGAGTGAGCGGAGTCAGGGAGTCAATGGAGAGAGAGAGGAGGTGGAAGGAACTCCCTGCCTTCCTCTCCTGCTTGTGAATTATTCTACCAGTAAAGCTCACAGGCTGGTAGCCGATTAATCAATCTCTAATAATGTTAATAACAAAGGCTCAGAAACAGTTCTTGACAATCTTCTGGAAGCTACTTACATAATCACCATCCTGAGGGATGAGTATATTCATCTCAGATGACTTGGCACTCACAATCTCGCAGTCTAATGCATCTTCACTGAGGTATATGTGGCAGCCTTCTGTCTTATTAATGGAAATTGTTGGCACTCTTCCCATTACCTGAAATAAGAAAAAAACTGTCTGGAACCAAAGCAAAGCAACAGAAATGACAGTGTTCCCAAATACGAACAACTTCGGTTCCTCTTGGCTTTAGCTTGGGCTTAACCAAGTATTAGGAGTTGCAGGGTTAAAGCTGGCGAGACTGGCTGATGGCTATGTCTCCAGGCTGCTGAACAGAGTAGGTGTCATTTGGGGACAGAATGAAAGGTCCACACAAGGGGATTCTCAAACCTTCTGTTTCGTGAGACAGAAATTAAGGGATTAATTTGGAAACAGACGCTAAATGTTCAGAAAAAGCCTCGTAGCCCCCTTTGTGGAACTGAAACATATATTTGATTTCATGATAAAAGAAACAAGACATTTACTTGTATTGGCCTAAAATTTTGGTCTTGACAAGTATCTGTGAAACTGGGATTAAAACGAGTGCCAATACATTTAAGAATAAGGTTATTCTTAAGTTGAAACTGAGTGGATTGTTCTTGAGCTTGAGAGTAAGTATGAAAACACTAAAATTCTTTTTAGTTAAGTCCTTTGCCTGATAAAAATCTCCTTGGCTGAACTCAAAGTTTAAATGAGATGAGTGTCTAGGTGTTTTGAAGTGTATTCACTTCAGGAGCCAAAAACTGGGGCTTACTTCAGGACACACATTACATAGACAAATAGGACTGAGCGTGAGAGGAGGTCATTCTTTGTATTGTTTACAAATATCTAAGTGTAGTAAACATTCTGATCAGTTTTAAATTCCTTTTCCAACAATCAGTTTTCAGGAATTCTCCCCCAATCTTCATGGGGGCAGACCTTTCCCCCAAAGACCATATTACAACTCCATAATTTTCTTTCTTGTAATGGTAATTAAAGTGATAAAGACATCTCTTCTTTCGCTCCGAAGAAAAGACTGGTTGCAAACCAAAGGAGCCAGTCCCGTTGAAGGGGTAGGTAGGGGGGCATCTAGCTAGGTCACCCTACTTCTCTGTTTTCTCTCTCCATGGAAACTGGACACTGAGTTGGAATTGAACCCCAAAGCCCCCCAAAAGAAAAAAAAGGCAGAGGTAGTTCAAGGTCAGGTAAGCACTGGGCTCTGCCACAACTAAGTAACAGAGTAATGGGGGGTGGGGGAAAGAATAATGGATAGATGTGTATTTCAAAAATGTGTCTAAGTAATATTTTGATCATTTCTAGATTTGCTTATCTTATGAAGATGAACATTTCTAAACTCTTTATCAGAACTATACAAATACCGAGCAAGTGAAGAAAAGAGATGACTTTGTCAGTGAGTCTTAGATGATTTATGAATGGGACACACTGAGGCAAGCACATTATGACAACATGTTTTAGTTATATTTATGTATGACTAGATTATGTTAAAAATGCTGAAGCACCCTGTGTATCTGGAAAGACAATGGCAACATTTACAAAATAGCCCTGGTATTTTAAGAACTGTGATTTTCACAGCACTGTGGCCAGTACTGCTTTTGAGTACATTATATCCACATCTGTCTTCCCTGGAAGTCTGTGAACACTCTGAGAACAGACAGTGTTTCTTATCAGCAGAGCTGGACTGAAGAGCTCCTTTACTGAATGACAGGTGACACGTTGGCTTGCCCAGGCCAATGTTCTTGCATTTAAAACACATTTCTTAATGAATATATTTGTATTTTTCAGCGATGAAGATTGAGCCCGTGTCTTCACTCATGTTAAGCACACGGTCTAACAGTGAGTTACATCGGTTTAGTGTTATTTTCCTTGAGTTTATTTCTCCAAAACACTTAAAAAAATTTCCATCGACTATTCTCTCTCCTATACTCTTGATTTTCCTAGGACAATTTGCCAAAAGTAGGGTGAGGAGGCCACACCATAAGAACTTTAGTCCATGTCTTTTCCCCCCACTTTCAGTCTTTTAACAGCATGGAGAGAAAATCTGCAAGCATACAATTCAGCCATTTTAAGTGTACGATTCAATGATATTTAACAAATTCACAGAGTTGTGCAAGCATCAAGACAGTCCAAGGTTAGAACATTTTCCTCATCCAGAAGTAACCCTAATGGCCACTCACAGTCAGTCCCAGCCCCAGCCCCAGGCCATCACCAATCTGTTTTCTTCTGTTTCTATTGTGCACTGGCCCTTTTACAACAATTCACTGAGTGCTTTAAATAGGTAAATCCTTCTACTTAGTTTGAACATCCAAAAGTTCACCAAGTATTTGGGCAAATGTCTCTTATCTCTGAATTGTGTTGTTGAGTTTCTATCCTTCCAGTGTAGGAAACCACAGATCATCTTTCCAGAGATGTATAATGCATGTCCATATCCTTAAAAATATATTTCAAACATACAAAAAAATATAACAAAAGCATAAGTAAATATAGGCCCACCAACGGTGTTATCAGAGTACAAGGTTTTGTTTTAATTCCCATTTTATTTTATTTTAAAGGACTAAAATCTTACAATTTTGTCGGAGCCCCTTCCATACCATCCACTACCTCAACAGACTCACCTCCTTCCTCCTTCCCTCCTTTTCTTCCTTTTTTTTCTTCTCTCCTTCTGATTTTGTAACTACTCTTCTGAAAATCACGTTTAGGATTCTTTGGGTCTATCCAGTGGGTATGGTGACTGGGAAGGAAGGCTGCCTTCATCTCTTACAAGTATATTTAACGTGTGTACTGTATGTTACAAATGGCACACAAGAGGTTACTCAGACACAGGCTTTATGAGAGAAAAGGATGAATTTATTCTGTCTGGATGCAGACAGGGCTGAGATTCTGAATGATTTCAGCAGCTATTTGGGAAAGAAATTAAGTTTATATAGTGTTTGAGAAGGGGCTGTACTCCTAAGGAATCTGAAGTGGAATGTTCATGATCGAGGTTCCAAGGACAGTCAGTGCAGGTGTGCAGACAATTACTGGACTTCTCAGTGCTGGGGAGACTGTATATTCCATCCTAAATTTTCTTTATGTCCATCTGTTCTGTTTTTTGAAAGTAGCATGGCCTTATCCTGCTGTTTGCTGAGGACGCGTGTTTGTCGTGAAGTTCTCATTCAGGTCAGGTATGACATTCTAATTTTTTTGTTATATACAGAGAGGGGTGGGAAAGTGGGTAACACTTCTCATGGCTTCTAAGTGTGTGACAAATGGCAGCATGGGTAACCTAGATGGGAGAAAGATCTTGGGGAATGGGAGTATATCAACGAGTGGTCAGGATCAGCATCCTGAATGTGATCCTCTGAAAACTGAGAGAAGTCTGAGGCGGCACACCACTGGGTTAGAGGGGAATGGGTTAACTGCAATCTTGTGGAGGAACTGTCTGGAGAAACTCCAGGGATTGTAAAAGAGAGAAGAGGTGAAAGAAACAGGACAGCTACCTGGGTAAAAGGGCACAGGGAGGAGGGGGAAAGGGGCCCAGGTAGGGTGAAGATGAAGCTGAGTATGAACATGAGAAATGATTTCCATCCCTGAGGCAAGGGAGTACCAACAGAATGGACAGCAGAACCCATAAAAGAGCATACAATAGAAACACAGGGTGCTTTGTAGGGACAGTCTGAGGAAAGGTTACTTGTGATTTTTTATAAGGAGGAGTCAGGCAAGTTGTAAGCCGGACACAGTTTTATCTGAGAACAATGAATTCCACTTAGGCTGTAGAGACACGGAGTTTGGTATCCAGTTGGCAGAAGGCTCTGGAGGAGGTGAGAAGCACCTAATTTAATATTACAGGGGCTTGTCATCAGTAATTTCATCAAATTGAGTTAAAGTGCTTCTTCTATACATATTTTCATCAGGTTCTTTTATATTTTTATTTTATTTATTTATTTTTTGGTACCAGGGATTGAACTCGGATCCTTGCGCAGGCTACCAAACCACTGAGCTAAATCCCTGGCCCCCAGGTTCTTCTTTTAATCAATGAATGGATGTTGGATTTTGTCATAAGCTTTTTTTTTGGCTTCTATTGAGACAATCATGTGATTTTTGTCCTTGCTTTGGTTATGGTGGTGTATTAATTTATTGATTTGCATATGCTGAACCATCCTTGCATCCCTGGGATGGGGTCTATTTGGTTGTGATGTATAATTTTTTTGGTGATTTGTTGCATTCTATTTACCAGTATCTTGTTGAGGGTTTTTCCAGCTATGTTCATTAAAGAGATTGGCCTACAGTTTTCTATTTTAGTTGAGTTCTGTCTGGCAGTGGAATCAGGGTAATACTATTTTCCAGGAATGAGTTGGGAAGTTTTCTTCCTCCCTCCCTTCCTCCCTCCCTCCCTCTCTCTCTCTCTCCCCCCTCCCTTCCTCCCTTTCCCCGCTTCTTTCTTTCCTTTTTTTGTAGTATCTGGGATCCCTTACTACTTTTTTTTTGGAAGAATGGCATATTTACTCTGAAGTTCTTATTCAGGTCAGGCATGACATTCTGATCTTTTTGTTGTTATATACAGAGAGGGGCAGGAAAGCAAAAGAAAAAGTCTCTTTCTTTCAGTTTCACTAAAGAGTTTGAGGAGTATTGGTGTTAGATCTTCTCTGAAGTCTTGTAGAATTCAGTAGTGAATCCATTGAGTCCTGAACCTTTCTTAGTTGGTAAGTTTATTTATCTCAATTTTATTGCCTTATTGAACTGTTATTGAACTGTTAGGGTTTTTGTATTTTCTTGGTTCAGTTTTGGTTATTCAGGAATTTATTCATTTCTTGTACATTCTTTCATTTTTTGGAGTACAAGTTTTCTTTTTTTCCCCATTAAGTTCATTGGTACATTTAAAGCAAACAATACAGTTACATTTATCATTGGAATCTTGTACCTTTACATGATACGTCTTGGTTCTTATTTTTTCCCTATACCTTGCCTTCCCTTCATCCCCTTCAGCCTTCCCTATTTACAAAGACTTTGTTTCCATTTTTCCCTTTTTTCACATTTTTTCTTTTCCCTTATTTCCTTTCCCCTCCCCTACCTACTTCCCCTTTAGCCATTTCTTCCTATTTCACATTGTCAATTATACCATTTGAACCTTATTTTACACTTTGTTTTTCACACCAGAGAAACTATTCTGTGTTTACTCATGTGTCCTATTTATTTCACTTAAGAGCATAGCCTCAATGTGCATCCATTTAGCTATAAATGTCTCTAGTTTCTCATTCTTTATGGCTGAGTATGGAGTACAAGTTTTCATAGTATTTACTAATAATCTTCTGGATTTCAGTGGTATCCATTCTAATTTTGCCCTTTTCATTTCTAATTGGATTAATACAGATCTTTTCCTTCTTTCTTTTTTTGACTAAGATTGGTTTGCTTATTTTGTTTATTCTTTCAAAGAACCATCTTTTCAACTCATTTGTTACTCATTTTTGGGGTCTCAATTTCTTTAATTTCTGCTCTGATCGTCATGATTTCTTTGCTTATACAGTACTAGGTTTGAATTTAAAATGGTCTTGTTTTTCCAGAATATGAGGTGTATCATTGTTATTCATTTGGGCTTGTTTTGTTTTTCTAATGTGAACATTCACAGCAATAAACTTCCTTCTTAGCATGGTTTTCATCGTGGCCCATAGGTTCTGGTATGCTGTACTGGCATTATTGTTTGATTGTATAAAATATTTAATTTCTAGGCTGGGCATTTATCTCAGTGGCATTGTGCCTGCCTTGAAAGTGCAAGGTCCTGAGTTTGATCCCTGGTATAAAAAAATTATTTAATTTTTTCCTTGATTTCTTTTGTGACCCATTGGTTTTTGTTTGTTTGTTTGTTGTTTTGAGACAGTGTCTCACTATGTAGTTGAGACTGACCTGGAACTCAGTCTGTAGCCCAGGCTGGTCTCGAACTCACAGCAATCCTCCTGCCTCAGCCTCCCACCATGCCTGGCTGTGACCCATTGGTTTTTCAGGAGTATGTTATTTAATGTCCAAGTGTTAGCAAAGTTTTTATGGCTTATTTTGCCACTGATTTTTAGTTACATTGCAATATAATCTGAGTATACATGGGATAATTTTTGATTCTTTTGTATTTATTTAAGCAAGCTTAATGGGCTAGTATGTAGTCTATTTTGGAGAAAGTTCCATGTGCTACTGAGAAGGATGTGTATTTAGTTGGGGTAGAGTAGAATACTCTGTAGATGTCTATTAAGTCCATTTGATTGTATGGTTTAGTTTTGATAGTTCTCTTTTTTTGGTCCAAGTGGTTTATTTGTGAAAGTGGTATATGATTGTATTAGTGTTTATCTGATCTTTTAGGATCAGCAGTTTGTCTTTATGAAGCTGGTTACACTGGTATTTGGTGCATATATATTTACAGTTGTTATCTCTTCCTGTTGGAATTGTTCCTTTAAGTAATATGTAGTGAACTTCATTGCCTCTTCTGATCAGTTTTAGCCTGAAGTCCACTTTGAGAATAAAAATGCTACCTTTGCTTGCTTCTGGGGTCCTGATGCATGGACTATTGTCCTCCATGCTTTCATTTTTAATCTTTCACTTTGGATTCGATTTGTCTCTTGTATGCATTAAACTATTCAGTTTTGTTTCGTATTGTTTTTTGTTACCGGGATCGAACTCAGGACCTTGAACTTTTGAGGCAGGCGTAGTGCCACTGAGCTAAATCCCCACCCTCTGTTTTGTTTTTTAATTGAGACTTCCAGTATGTATCTTTTAATTGGGGAGGTGAGCCCATTTACATTGAGAGTTATTTCTGAAAAATGTTGACATTGCTGCCATTGCATTATTTTTATGTTGTTCAATCCTTAATTTTTTCCTGTTTTTAAAATGCTCAACCTGGTTGATATATTCATTCTGTCAGACTTTTTGACATTTTGACTTCATCATCTCATCTCCTTCAGAGTTTTTTGGAGTGCTGGTTGGGTGGATGTGAATTTTTAAAGATTTTTTTGTCAAGGAATGTCCTTATTTGTTCATGAAATCTGAAAGATAATTTTGTTGGATATATCAGTCTGGGTTGAAAGTTGTTGTTTTTATTTTTAGGGCTTGAAATAATTCACTCCAAGATCTCTTGAGCTTTAAAATTTGTGTTAAGAAATCTGCTGTAATCTATCTCTCTCTCTCTCTCTCCAGAACAAACAACCAAAGAAATAAAAAAATCTTCACACAGTTGCTTTAGCATTAACCTAGAGTGTCCATAGCTCTCTTCATACTGCAGTCATACTCTGATTGTGAGCAGCCAAGCATTTCCACCCTGCAGACCACTCAAATGCCTGCCCAGAGTAGTGAGGGCTGCTGTTCTCTCCAGACCCACCTCCTGGCTGAAAGCCAACTGCAGGCCTTCAAAGTGATCCAAGATCCAATCGCCTCAATTCACTTGGGAAAAAAGGAAGAGGGCCCCACTGGCCAGCATAGGATGGTGGGCAGTGGGCAGGGTCTCAGGCCATTTCGGTGTTTTTAGTGTTTGGGAAAATGATAAGAGAGTGCTTGCTCTAGTCTGGCTCCCCTCACAAACCCCTTAGACCTTGGGTTTGGTGCAGCAAGTTTCTTTTCATTTCCCCTCAAGTATCAGACTTTATTTTTAGTTCCTGCTTCAGGGTAACTGCTTTGGACACTCTTGCTCTTGCTGTTGTCCTCCAGACAGCTGTGATTTTTCCTATTTCCCATTTCTATTGTTAATTTTTTCCTAGGTGTCCTACACAGTTTTGTTGACATTTTAAATCTTATTTTGTATTACATTTTCTAATTCTTATTTTTGGTGTCAAGAAATGCTCTTGATTTTTCTAAATTTCATATAACAACTAATCATCTCAGTGAATATTTCTTTAATGTTAATAGCTTATTGAATCTCTTGGATTTTATATAAAGACATTTTTTCTGTTAAATAAGGACATTTCAGTCTTTCCCAATTTTGTGGCTTTCCATTACAAGTGGTAACCCAGTTCACAAACTTAATTCATCCCATGATTCTGAAAAAGATGGTCATCATTATGTTCAACACCCAGTACAGAGTTTACAAACAAAAACAAAAATTTGGGGCCAGGGATTTAGCTCAGTGGCTCTGCCTTGCAGGTGCAAGGTCCTGAGTTCAATCCCTGATACAAAAAAACAAAACAAAACAAAACAAAAAAACCAAACAACAAAAACAAAAAACCAAAAAAAACCCCCAAATTTTGCCAATTTGATCCCGAACAAAAGCATTTATGAACAAGGTACCACTGTATTGGTACCACCGTGTTCTCACCTGTTCATAGGCTAGACTCTTTAACACAGTATGGAACAGAAGCAACGACAAAAGGAAGTTTCTTCTTGTTTCTGACTTTAATGGCAATTTTAAAAGAGTTTCAAATGATACTTTTAATCCAGTGTAGTATATCTTCTCTGACTTTTTGATAGGATTATCAGACATAAATATAGAATGAGCATCTGTGCCGAGGTCTCATGATGCCTAGCCAGGGCTACTTCCATCCACTGAGCACATGTATAACCAACTTCTTAAACGGTAATTAGTGAAATGTAAAATGTACATCATAGGGACTCTAATTAAAAATGCAGTGGTGGGTCGGGGATTTAGCTCAGTGATTCGATGCCTGCCTTGCAAGTGCAAGGGGGACCTTCGATCCCCGGTACAAAAACAAAACAACACAACAAAAATATTCAGAGGTGAAAAGCCCAATAAATCAAAAGAGAAAGATTTATACAGAAAATATC